CCGTTTACCCTGTTTTTATTTTATTCCACTGCGGAACTTCACGTGAACCTTACGAGTGAAAACGGGGCCAATCAGTTAAAAATTCAAAGCCAAAAGAGTTCCACTAACGCTTTCTTTCACCCGCAGCAATTATCAAGGAGTGAGCAGATGACTATAATTTGCCGTATTCAATATTCAATTACCGTAAATATGTCAGTTAGGTATTCTAACGAACAATGGTCAAAACACCCCCCCGCCAAGTAAGCTGCACAATAACAATGTTGTTTAAAAACGTCCGCACTTGTTTGACTTCCCTTGTTGGCAAGATAGTCAGCTTAAGGAAACCATTGTTTTAACAGACCTCGCTCACCTGTTAAACAGGAACACTCCAAAGGTAACTATCTACGCCAGCAAATTCAAGGAGCTAAACACTTTGATCTTAGGATCAGTCCCACTAAGGAGAGTACAACTCAACATGGTTCGTACAATGCGTTCGTTCAACTGCTTCGCGTTTATTGGTTTATTATGCTATGCCGTTGTTCAAGCCCCATATAGACAGGGAGATATCATGTTGGGTGGCGTCTTTAGTATTCGCCAAGAAACGTCAGAGGGTCATTGCGGGGAGATCACCAAGAGAGTGGCATACGCTGTCGCAATGATCTATGCCATAGAAAATATCAACAATGACCCAAATCTTCTTCCAAACATTTCTCTAGGATACGACATACGGGATTATTGTGCCAATATCACTAAAGCAACCCGAATCACCTACGATCTGTTTCAAGAGACGTCCTGTACCAACGCTACACAGAGCAAAATGGGAAAGAGGTCTATCGTGGCATTAATCGGCCCAACCGAATCTACCACAGCGCTAGTTATCGCTGGATTTCTTGAAATGCTTAATGTTTCAGCTATGAGCACAACAGCAATGAGTTCTGTACTCAGTTCTCATACCTACAAACACCTATATCGAACAGTGCCGTCAGATACCTTTTTAGCAAAAGCAGTTGCTGATATCATTGAACACTTCAACTGGACTTACGTAGCTGCTATTGGGGTCGATGATGCGTATGGACGATATGGTGTGTGGTCACTCATCGAGGAAGCCGGCAATAAAAATGGCTCATTCTGTGTTGCTATGACAAAATTCATACCCCATCATGGTGCGCAGATTACAAACACTAAGGATATAGTTACAGAGCTCAGGCGACACGAAAACATCAGAGTGATCATCCTGTGGATGTACGGTGCCATTCTGAGGAACTTCGTCCGGGAAGTCGGCCAACAAAATCTCTCCGGGCGAGTTTGGGTTGTAAGTGACATAGCCTTCTCTTTGAATGTAAATGAGTTCGCCCCTTCTAATTCTGAATTTTTGCCATTCCATGGGTCAATAGCATTCCAACCGCACGACTTTCAAGACGTAGAATTTAAGGAATATATGAAAGCTTTGCTGTCAAATGGTACAAACAAGAAAGATCTTCCGGAATGGTGGAGCGACATTTTGACGCTGACTAAGAATTGCACAGCTGGTAAAGACAAACCTACTCAGCAAGAGAATCACCGAAAAGAATCATGCGTACAAAAAATTGTCAAAGATTTGCACAGCTCATACGTTCCATTTGTAACTGATGCTGTATATTCCGTGGCCCATGCTTTGAGTATTTTGACGCAAAATACTAACTTAACTGATGAGGATCAGAAGAGATCGTATCTAGCAAAGGACGGCATGCAAAAGCTCCTTTCCAGAGTTAATTTCACTGGACTAACCGGAAACATATTTTTCGATGACTTTGGAGATAGGCAATATGCGTTCTATGACATTATCAATTTCCAACAAGTAAAACAAAATGATGGAACAGGACTAGAACAAGTTATTGTTGGAAAATGGCAGGCGAAAGAGGGGTTACACTTGAACGAAAGTATTCGTTGGAACAGCCCAACCGGACGTTTTCCAAAATCTGACTGCCTGGCACAATGCTCGGCGGGCACAAGAAAATCCACGACTTCACCCTGTTGTTGGCAATGCATTCCGTGTCCACAAGGTACAATAAACTCAGTTCCTGGTGCTCAAACCTGTATTAAATGCCCACGAGGGAAATGTTCCAATGAGGCTAGGACAGCGTGCGTAGATTTGCCTTTGGCCAATTTCCATTATTCTAGTGCGGGAGGAATTGCAGTTCTCGTATTTGGTGCACTGGGTATGTTTGCCACACTCTTTTCATTTGCTGTTATCTGCAGATTCTGGAACACTCCCATTGTAAAGGCATGTAACAAGGAACTGAGCCTTGCTCTTCTAACCATCATTATCTTGATGTTTTTGCTGGCGTTTATGAATTTGTTTCAACCTACGGATGCAATTTGCAAGATCATTTACCCATGGCGTTACATAACTTACAACCTGTGTCTTTCCCTCCTACTGGTAAAAGTCTTGCGTATTTCCAGTGCCTTCCAAGTTCCACTGGTACATGGCTATACAATAACGTCTCTTCCTGATGGAAAGCAAGCAGTGATTGACAATTAGCAAGAGAAATTAACTTCTTTTGGTTTTAAATCTCTCCAAACTTGTATTTGGTAGGGTAAAGCACCAACATGAGAGCATTAACTGTCAGCTTCAAAAAGTCAAGACTATGGTGGCAGTTGATTTACCTTTAACAGCTGTGGTTTGATAAGTACCCCCTAAGTCAGTGTTTCAGTTGCTCTCCCATGCTGTGCAACCATTTCTTTAGAAAGTAATTTTTGCCTATTTACAACTTTATGATAAGGGCCATCAACATACATGTATCACGTGTTTCCTACGTAATTTAAACTTGACAGTAAGGGAGTTAGGGGTTAATGCAAGTTTATTTCTGGATATTAGTGCAGGGCATTAGTTTTAAGCCAAAGGCAAAATGATCCATTGTTAGTAATGAATTATACTACTGACTTATTGGAAGTTTTCATTTCCATATGTGAAAAGTTTTCTCTTCCATTTGTGATCACTGGGACATGGTTGAAAAAAGAAAAAGCATACATGCACACTGGGTGGGGTGGGGTGAGAGGGGGAAGTCTGACCTAACCATCCAGTTGAAATTAAGCGGGGAAAAAATGAGTGTGTTGACAGCTCATTAAAGCTAATAGGAAGTGAAACACATACCATCACAAATAGCTACACATACATTGTAAGTTGTGGCTAGCCAGCTGCAGAATAATTGAAGGGATTAGTGTGACTGCATCTGCTTTAATTGCCAGTTTTTCTTATAAATATGAAACATTTCACTCTAATGAGACAGTGTAAAACTGCACTGTAGACCATCTAGAAACTAACTTTTGCCACTCCTGCTTGTAATAGTGGCAACTTATATGCTGTGACAAGCAGTATCAATTCCGCAAAATTAGCCAGAATTTTCAAATTTTGTCAGTGACAGGCAAATTCTAGAAAATTGTACTTATTTGTCTTCCTTACCTTAAAAGAGGATTGAGAAGACTAATTCATGGTGAAAAAGCTCACAAACTAACAATTTATTATTAGTCAAGTGCTGCATGTATAAGAATCATTTTGCTGTCACTACTGCTGCTGACTGGGGAGCCTGGGTTTATGTGTCCTTAACAAGAGGTCTTTCCCAGTTTAACCCATGTCCCAATGACCAGACCTCATAACTCACACTCTGAATTATATCTTTGAATATTTTGTTCTTTTAAAAAATACTCAAGTGAGAAAACCGAATTGTAATAATTTCTCAGGAGTTTGGTCAAAATATACCACTGATAGCTAATTTGACAAACATCTAATAAATGGCTCGTTTTGTCCCCTATTGGCAAAAAAGAAACCACGGGGAGCCAACAAAAGTAGATCCACACACAAATAAAGTGATCTCAGATTCAGTGAAAAATGCTTTCACTAGCTTCCAGACCTAAAGAGAATAAGGAGTGGGATCAGCATGTGCAAAAATGACTGGACCTCATTCAAATTTTTTAGTCAATTGACATAAATTGAAGATGTCTTTCCTAGTGAAGAGTTTAAATCATATTGATGATAGCGTGCGTTTAGCAGTATACCTGAAGACCAATGCTTAGGTTATCTCAGTCGACATTTTAATTAGTAGAAGTCTTTCCCAGGGTTATTTATGACGAGCAATCCTCAATATATCTGGCCTGTTCCAGAACGAGTGAAAAACAGGCGAGCGACTTGGAGCGTTCTTCCCCAGATCCCCCTCGTCCTCGCACGCGCCTCGTTCCCCTTCCCTTGCCTCCACAAAACGAGAGCCTGGAACAGGTTACATTACATCCGAAACCCATAACCCGGTCATAATCTCAAAACAAAAAGGATAAAGTTTAGTCTGACTTGATCTAGTCTATGAGGTAGAAACAAACATTTCCTAAGTTGTCTTGAGCTACAAACTATCCCAGTGAATCTCCCGAGCGATCAAACCACTAGATGCGCGCACTTCCGCAAAAAGGTAAAAGGTTAAGTCTGCATGCGAGGCAAGTGGCCCATCAGGCCGGAGCTTATTCCGTTTTCTGTAACAGAAGCGACTAAGGGCATTTGTACTACCCCGTGGATGGGATGCCAGTACATCGCAGGGTTACCCCCTGTATTAAATTTGCCGGTACCCATTTATACACCTGGGTGGAGAGAGACACCGTGAGAGTAAATTGGCTTGCCCAAGAACACAACAAAATGTCCCTGGCCAGGGCTCGAACCCGGACCACTCAATCCGGATACGAGCGCACTAACAATGAGGCCACCGCACCTCTACTGTTCCGGCAGAAACTGCTGCGAAAAGCTTCCACTTCCGTGTCAGAATTCATGACAAACTAAGCTTTGTATGCCGTATATGCGTAGAGAATGAAATAATTGTTATGCACCAAGTTTATCGACTGGTAATGAGGCTTGGCACAGCTCTTTTTTTAACGACTTACAATCGTCCGGCATGTTTTCGCTTCAAACTCAGATTTGGCTTTCAAGCTCGCGTCTGCGAAAAAAGGAAGTGTGATAGAATTTCTGCGCGGCGTTGGACCACTGTAATGGTCAGCGACGTACAACCGCTGGTTGAGCAGCCTGAAGGCGTTGAGATTACCCCTGGGGTAAGTAAGCGGCACGTTTCAGTTGAAAAGTACTAGGTCAAGGAGTCAGCTGTAAGTTGACGACGAACTTTTTCCGTGGAGTGGGCGTTCAAATGATGTTGTTAAGTACATGTAAGTGTTTTATCTAAAATGGGCTCTCGTTTGTTTTACTTAATATAGATTCTTTGTTATTTGTGTTAGTTATAAACATGTTTTAATGTCATAGACAAAAATGACTTAGTTAATATTTTGAAAGTATAAAACCAAATGTTTTAAATCATTATGTAAAAATTAACTTACATGTTCACCTATATAGATAATATTTTGCAACGTACCTTTAGAAACATAGAAGAGTCGGAAGTTTTACATTTACTAAGTTTTATGACAGCCTTTGTTGAAATATAATCTCGCTGGCTTAACACGCGCTGATTCAGGCTGTACCTGAAAATCCAGGCGAGATCATTTCATGGCTAATTTCCATTGATCTCGCTTAAGAGTGAAATAACTATTTAGTTCTTTATAAATCCCTGGCCATAAGCATGTAGGATTACTTCCACAACTCCACCTCCTTCAGTGATGGTGTGGTAAAAAACAAACCAGTATGATTACATATGGAATACATACGATGAATTTAATTTCAATTTTCATTTGTCTTTAAAATTAAGCTGAGCATAGATACTCAAGCTGTTCGAAGTCGAGTACTGCATTTTAATTTTCTGTACAAAAAATGTGAAAAAAATGAAAAACAACCGCATTTAAATCAAGGCGTGAATTTTTATCAGTGCTACTAAAATGCGCGCATCGTTTGCGTTTTATTATTAATGACTGAAATATATCGGTATCTTCGGAATATTGGTCAAGTAACGAAGAAATTGAAGAATTTTTAATTAACTATATTTAACTATTTGTCAGTTTGTGTCTGCTATGAGTAGGAATAAGACAAAACCAGTGCCTAACTTTGAGTCAATCTAATAAAAAAAATATTGTGAATTGTTTTTAAATGGCTATTCAGCAACAATATCGAACAAAATCTAAAATGAGCCAATAATTTCACCCAAATGATGTACAATCTTCGCAAAAATAGTGTAATATTCACTGACATCTTGTCGGTTTACATCAGTCAATATTAACCAGTATTTTAATAACCGGTCTTCACAACAGCGATATTTTGCATGATAATAGAGGCCGATAAGATAAGAAGTCACTTTTGGGCCGATATTTCAGGCAAAAAAAGAAATAATAAAGCAGGATGATCCTGTTTAACTTATCGCCTTAAATATCATAATAATGATATATTTTGCGGTCTATAACTCGATCGTTCCCTTGTTATTCATATGCCATATCTGCATGGATTGCCGTGCATTCAGCGAATCCTTGATTATAATTTCGCAATAATTTCCTACCTCCGGCAAGATTATTGACCAGCCACAGTAGCGTGCATTGAATTTAATTTCTGGGTTTTTAATAAGTAATATCAGCACGGGATATTTAATACAAGAAAAAAGTATATTCCGAGTGGAACATTCACGCAGACTGAATGATATAGGGGTTAATGAAAGTTTTATCAGCGGACGTAGGCTTTGACAAGTCTAAATGTCGCCTTCCTTAACTACGGTAAATAACTTAAAGTGATGGTGTTCTAGACAGCGCTATTTTAAACTTTGTGCCTATTTTGACGATGTCACCTGTGGGAGGAAGAAAAGCCCTCTAGAAGGTAGTGTGTTTTGTGGGTTTTCGATTCTGTTAGACATCAGGTTTTTCGCCGGCTTAAAAGATGATAATTTTTCTCAGTTATATGAATTAAGCATCGGTGTTGAACGTGTCAGTCATTTGAAAATATGCTCAGAGACATTTGGCAACTTGTAATTTCTTCCAGTGGAAACCGAATGTCGGTTACAATATCACTGTAAGCGGAATGGAAAACCGGCAGAATGTCGACGAAATGCGAAATGTTCCTGTTTGAGATAATGTTTTAATTTCCTGGTATCGGGAAATGAATAAAATAATAAGATTGCAGTAGAGATAGGAAAGGAATGCCTTACGATAACGATGAAAACTGGCATGTTCAATTCCATGTGAAGATAATTGTCGGTATTCTTGGGAAAATACGGCTGTTATCACACGGGCTGGAAACCGAGACTCGACTCTATGCTTTTACGTGGCGAATTTTGAACTTTTCAAACGATAACTTCAAATCCATAACGAGGAAAATTTGTTTTGTTTAGTACGAAAGCTTTGGCGCCAATACTTCATTGCATGAGAAATGTATGCCAGGAAATGACTGAAACGGTGTTTAAATAAGATGTATTTACTGTACCGAACTTGTGACAAAACAGAGCGTAACAGCAGGCGGTTAAGTCAGACGCCGTTTTATCATACAGCATATTCTTTTGAAGCGTTTCGTTCACTTTTGAGATCTTCAGAGGTCCCCTTAGGCGAAATACCTCCACCTGCAACGCGGTCTTGCTAGTTGAAGAC